CGATAGTGTTTTAGGTCTTTTAACGTTCAATCCAAAGTTGAGTGTTTAAGGGTGTGTTTGTAAATAAATAAATTCGATCCCAGAAATGATATAGAGTTATTGGATGGTTCTCTTATGGAGTCATCCATAACTTTATGCATTGACACGTGTCCAATGTGTATTTATTGCAGGACACGTGTCAATACATCATTTGTTGATAACTATGGATGACTTCATAGCAAAATCGATTCGATCCACCTTTAATTCATACTTAAAAATCTTACTCAACTTTAATTCAACTTTATTATTATCAATATAATTAAATAATATTAATCAATCATTCTTACACATCACATCAATCTTAATTCACTATTTATTCATTTACATAATTTTAACTATGACTTCATATCATCTATCTCATACTTTTATATCAAATCAATTTCAATTATTTTATTTTAAATATTATTTTAATATAATATCAAAATTTCACTACAACTAATTATACTATATTTTTTAAAATTAATCTTAATTAACTAAAAAAAGTTATTTTGAGTGGATATATTTATGTGAATTGAAACTATTGGGATGTGCTATGTGCTGTTGTTTTCCTGTGGTTAAGGTTGGAGTTTCAAGGGAATAAAATAAAATAACTTGGTCAAAAAGGGTTTAAACAAAAATCAATTTGCGCGAAGACTCATGGCAGACAGAGTTAGTGTAAAACTTCGGTATACCTTTTGAGGAAATTCACCTTCAAATTTCAATAATAACTAAAAGTACTTTCCACTATACTTTCCCTGAAAAAATTATTGCCCTATCCACCTAATTGAATCAAAAAAGCAAGAAAAAAAATCTATAATATCAAGAAGTTGCCCTTAAAAAGGTTTTCTTGGATCTTATTTATTGTTTAAAACTTGATTATTTGTTCAACTATGTGTGGAGCACTATTGGTGTCACCTTATAGAAAGATTAAAATTTGTTTATATTGATAATTGAAAGTACATGAAGAAGTTTCCTTCATAACTCACTTTTTCAATTACTCTTGACTGCCAATCGGATCACGAGTTTGCAAAACTTGGGTTGTTGATTCTTTGTAATATTAAAACAAAAAAAAATTAATGGATGATTTTTTTCTTTAAATAAAAATTTAAAAAAATAAATGGACAAAAACAAAAAGAAAAATTAAAATGTGGACCAAAATCAAAAGATCGCATTCTGAGAATACGTTTTACATTGTAAAACATATTCTCGGAATACGTTTTAATTTTAAAACATATTTCAATAATACGTTTTATAAATAAAACTAATTTTATAATTTATATTTAATTGTAAGATGTATTCTCGTAATACGTTTTACAATTAATTAATTGTAAAACGTATTTAAAAAATACGTTTTACAAATTAAATTAATTTTATAATTTATATTTATTTGTAAAACGTATTATGGTAATACGTTTTGCAATTAATTAATTTTAAATTTTTTTCATTTTTCGCTATACATTAGCTTATTTAATGAGACGACTTCGGGTGTTCCGTTGGGCCTCGATAAGCGAGTCGAGCATTAACGAAAAGTGTTTTCGAGAAAACACGAGAAGAGGAGAAGCCGTTTATGGCGTCGATTTATTATTTCGAGGTCCCGTTCATTTATTTAAAGAAGCTCAAGTTCTAGGGTGCATAGTAGTAAAATAAATGAAAAAAACGTTTACGTGAGTCCCGCAAGGTCGCGTATGACTTCGGTTTACCGAGAATCGAGTTGGGGCGTGTAGATAATTCAGGCACGATGTCCTGCGGGGCATTTATCGTGCATTTCGGAGTTCCGAGCATTTAATTAGAGAAACTTGAATTCCCGTCGGAATAGTAACAAAATAAGCGAGAAGAGGAGACTTCGGGTGTTCCGTCGGGCCTCGATAAGCGAGTCGAGCATTAACGGAAAGTGCTTTCAAGAAAGCACGAGAAGAGGAGAAGCCGTTTATGGCATCGATTTATTATTTCGAGGTCTCGATCATTTATTTAGAGAAGCTCGAGTTCGATGGTGCATATTAGTAAAATAAATGAAAAAGCCGTTTACGTGGGTCCCGCAAGGTCACGTGTGACTTCGGTTTACGGAGAATCGAGTTGGGGCGTGTAGATAACTCAGGCATAATGTCATGCGGGGCATTTATCGAGTATTTCGGAGTTCCGAGCATTTAATTAGAGAACTTGAATTCCCGTGGGAATAATAGCAAAATAAGCGAGAAGAAGAGACTTCGGGTATTTCGTCGGGCCTCGATAAGCGAGTCGAGCATTAACAAAAAGGCTTTCGAGAAAGCACGAGAAGATGAGAAGCCGTTTATGGCATCAATTTATTATTTCGAGGTCCCGATCATTTATTTAGAGAAGCTCGAGTTTGAGGGTGCATATTAGTAAAATAAATGAAAAAAGCCGTTTACGTGGGTCCCGCAAAGTCGACTTTGACTTCGGTTTACCGAGAATCGAGTTGGGGCGTGTAGATAATTCAGGCACGATGTCATGCGGGGCATTTATCGAGTATTTTGTAATTCCGAGCATTTAATTAGAGAAACTTGAATTCCCGTGGGAATAGTAGCAAAATAAGCGAGAAGAAGAGACTTCGGGTGTTCCGTCGGGCCTCGATAAGGGAGTCGAGCATTAAAAAAAAGTGCTTTCGAGAAAGCAGGAGAAGAGGAGAAGCCGTTTATGGCATCGATTTACTATTTCGAGATCCCGATCATTTATTTAGAGAAGCTCGAGTTTGAGGGTGCATATTAGTAAAATAAATGAAAAAGCCATTTACGTGGGTCCCACAAGGTCACCTGTGACTTTGATTTACCTAGAATCGAGTTGGGGCGTGTAGATAATTCAGGCACGATGTCATGCGAGGCATTTATCGAGTATATTGGAGTTCCGAGCATTTAATTAGAGAAACTTGAATTCCCGTGAGAATAGTAGCAAAATAAGCGAGAAGAGGAGACTTCGGGTGTTCCGTCGGACCTCGATAAGCGAGTCGAACATTAACGGAAAGTGCTTTCGAGAAAGCACGAG